TTATAAAAATTATTAATGCTCATACAGATTCAAATCTGTCCAAAAACAATTTTTACACGTGACATTTATTTTAATTACTTTGGTGTTTTTTAGGCATTACAAAGCCTGCCAGCTTCCATTCCTCCTGTTGACCCTGACTATGTGTACTTCTGTCAAAGAACCAGGAGAGGAAGAAATGATAACCAATATTCATTGCATATTGACAACAGGATTTTTCTAAGTGCTTTAATTTATATATATATTTTACATATTTTTAACACGTTCAATTCTCCTGACACCCAACAGGATAGCTTCTATTATATCTCCATTTTACAGATGAGGAAACTTGAAACAAAGAGTAATGTTTAAGGTATTTGGAATAGAGACCAAACGTCCATTTTATTTGTGGAAACTGCTATAAAGACAACATACACTGAATCAGTTAATACATAAACTTCTTGAAGAAAAATCAAGTAAAACATATTCTGCAGAAACTTTGAAGTTCACATGTATTTGCTCATAATGTATTTCTAGATGTGTGCTGTCCAATACAAGAGCCACCAGCTACATATGGCTACTGAATACCTGAAATATGGCTAGGACAATTTGAGATGTGCTGTAAGTGTAAAATACGTATCAGATTTTGAACTTAATATAAAAAAAGGTAAAACATCCCATTAATAAATTTTGTATTGATTACACATTAAAATGACAATATTTGATAACATTAAATGAAATATATTATTAAAATTAACTTCACTTGTTTCTATTTCTTTCAATGGGGCTACTACAGATTTCTCTCCCTCATGTTTGTGTATATATAATACTGTGTGTGTGTGCACACTGCTATATATATATATATATATATATATATATATACATATACATACACACCACTCATGAGAACCAGAGGAACACACTACTGTAATACTTCCCGATACTGGACATACAAGATTATTATATGACCAGGCAAACACTTCAGGTAATACCAATAGTTTGTGGATGAAGGAAGAAAAGCAAATCTAAGAGGAAATAACAGCCATGGGGGGAAAAATTATTGTTTTAAACTGAAATCATTAAAAAAAAATTACTTGGTTCCAGGGATATAATAAATTCCAAGTCCACGTGGTAAGTAAAATTTAAATTTCCTGATGGCTTAATTGGTAGACTATTAAAATATTTGATGCTTGATATCTGGCATCTTCTAGAAAATACCAAGTTTATAGATACCTGTCACATTGTTTTGAACAATTTTATACATTTAACTGATTCTTCTAAATGGATACTGGTCCACTATATAGAAGAAAATTACTCCATAAAGTTTATATCAGATATCTGGAAGTCACATTTATAGTCATGGCTACTATCAGCTGTCAAGTCAAAGAATATTGAAGAAAACCAGGAATTTTTAATATATGCTGGTTAATTTATCATCTAAGTGACATATGTAGGATAACAAAAAAATTAAAACAGTTAAGCAATAGTCTGCATTTTAAAAGGTTCTTTTTTTCTGGTTTAATTGCAACTATGATCTGAAATGCCACAGTGAGAGCAAACTAACAGGAACAATAAAACCAGAATTACTAAATCAGGTACACAGTAAGATTTCTTTTCTCTTCCCTTCGCTGGATTATCTAAAATGTTAATTTTTTGGTTTTAATTTTTTTAACAATAATATACTGATATCTTGGTTTGTGCTGAAAACTAGTTAAACCATCTATTCTAGGGATTTCTCAACATTGACACCATTTACATTTGGGACCGGATAATTCTTTGCTGTGGAGGGACTGTCTCATGCACTGTAAGATACTGAACAGCATCCCTGATGTCTATCCAACAGATGCCAAAAGCAGCCTCCGTAACAGTTATGACAATCAAAAATGTCTAAACACTGTCAGATGTCCTCAGTAGGGTAGAAATCTCCCTCAGTTAAGAACCACTGGTCTATTCTTACCCAAAATAACTTTCTTATTTGGTGAAAATTACTTCAGTATTTTCTACTCTACTATTCTTTAGTTTTAGAGGCTCTTCATGGGGGATCCCCAGATAGCTCCAGCAAGGAGATCAGTAAACCACATGCAGAATAGCCTGGGTATGTTTATACTTGTGTGTGCACTGGAATGTTTTCTGGAGAAATATTCCATAGCTTTCATCAGATCCTGAAAGAGTTATCCTAAAAATGACAACTAAAAAAGGGTTAAGAACTAGTGTTTCAACTAAAATTTTCACTGTGCCCCGAAGCTATCTTTTCAAAAATATAAAGATTGAAGACATTGTTTTATATACAGCAAAAAATTTACTTGTGCTATTGGTTACCAAGCAAGATTGTTTCTACCACACTTACAAACCCTTCATTCAACAAATATTTACTAAGTACATTTTATATGCTAAGCACTATGTCATTTGTATTTGAAAACTAAATTTAAATTCCATCTCCTTTACAAAAAAAAAAAAAGCAGCAGCATGAAGTCCACATTTGTTAAATATAACCAACTAAGAATTTCTCCTTCTCAAAAGTTAACATAAGAAAGAAAATAGACTAGTTATAATACTAGTGCCTGAAGATAAAATAAAGGTAAGTAAATAAAATAAACATAATTTATATTCTTGGTAAAAAATATAAAATAAATCTTCTAAAAGAAAGAAATTTAGAGATAACACATACAAATAAATTATTGTCCAGACACATTTCTTTCCATCTTTTCCTTCTTTCCCTGCGTTAAACAAAATTAAAATTTACTGAATGACATACTATGTATCAGGCATAGTTACTATGCCCATAGTATATCAAGTTAAAATTAATTTTTAATTTTTTTAAATTAAAAAAAAAAGAGATGACCTAGAACATGAGATGATGATCATGCCTAGGATACAGCAAAAGCAGTCCCTTTTCTTCCTTTCCTTTCTGTCCTCAAGAAGCTCACAGTCTCATCTCCAACAAATGCCACGTCTTAAATTTCTCTTTTAAGGTATCTTTTAGGTGCTGTGCAATAGAATCCTTTGTGATTCAAACTGTGTAAGCTAACCAAATAGCAGCTAAATATCTAAAATGTTTGAATAATTATAATTCTATAATCTACATAAACGTTTCTTTTTTTTTTTAAGCAAACAATCCCCAAATATCCTATTTTTCCTATAGTGCAGTTTAAAGTTTATAGGGCCACTAATCTTTTGGAATACACAACTGTGACACACAACTTGAAGAGCTATTATACTCAATAAGTGGTCTGGGGATAACAGATACTAATGTAATCAATAAATATATAAGAAATGGCTGGAAAAGGACATGTCTGCTTCATGATTACCAAACGGATTAAGGCTAGAATGAGTACAATGAGAAGATGATGCTTAAAAATATGTGGTGAATAAATCTTTACAAATAAGTTAGAAAACAGTTTTGTGCCCTTAAATAAACATACCACCCCAAATAATCAATACCATCGTATCTAGCCAAAAGTAAAACAATTAATAAAGAAAGAGACTGCTCCTATAACATAAATGACATTTATGAAAAGAATATTTTTATGTTTATTTTATATACTCACAATTATCTGAATAATATTACATAATAAAATTACACTTCACAGAAGAGACGTTATATTGATAGTGATAAATTGCACAAAAATTTCTAAATTTGAAGTATCAGATTGGAGAAGGAAAAAAAAACTGCAACTCAAAAAAAATTATATTATTTACATATTTACCTGCACAGCAAGAGAAGCTGCATTGTCAGAAAGCAAAATTTGCTCCCCTGTGGAAATATAATGAAAGGTTTGTGTCAAAAGGATGATTGGTAAACAAGTAAATACACTTACAAATGTTTTTATTTTTAAATACTATTCCTATTTCTAAAAAGAAAATGTCATCATGAAGTCCTATACTAATGCTATTGCAAAATTACAATTTTGATTAAATTATCATAGTGTATAAATAGCAAGGAAACAAGACTATTTCCGCTAAAACTATTTGATCACTTCCTATATCTTACCAACAATACATAATTAAAATCGCTCACTTAAAAACAAATTTGTTTTTCAAGTTTTCAAGAAATACTCCTCTTCTTTTCATTAAAATTAAGTAAAATAGTATCTCTGCTCAAACCTCTTTAGTTAAAAGTAAAAGCATTCAAAATCATATAAAACTGGCTTACAGTTAATACTGCACAGTGTGTCCAGGTCTGTCACACAAAAGAAAGATGACAAGTTCTCTGTAATAAAAATTCCATGCTTAGAAGACTAGGGCCGCTGCCTATTAGTCTTCATTACTTTGCAGTCTTCTGACAACTGTAGCAGGCTGCTGAGCCCCAAATGGGGTCCATAATGTGATCTGATGATATATGAAGAGCTGCTAAAGGGAGCCTGAACCATCCTAGCCTATACATTTTAACAGTTCCTTTTTACTGAGAGCCCACTTTACCACAAGACTTCAAAAATCTGCTGTGTCAGCTATTGGTGCAGTAAATCTGCCAACTTCTCCAGCAACCACATCATTTTACACTGCCTACAACAGCCAATATAATGAGTCAATAATAAACTAAGGACCTTATAGGCCATGATTAGTTGGTTTATACTGGCAGACACAAGTTTAGATAAAATCTCCTAGACAAATTATATAAGGGAATCCCTTCTTTATGTTTTATGTTCTCTTTGCAATAAATTATATTACTGAAGGGTGTTTTGGGTAATAAATATATTTTGATACAAAGCCATTTTTAATTGAAAACAAGTACCCACCTTTCAGTTGCTGATATAATGTAGCATTTTCAGGCCAAGGTTCTGCAGCTGTGGAAACAAAGCAGTGATAATTAGGCACACAGGGCAAAAATATAACCAACCAAATTAATAATCACATACATTTGCCTACAGCATTTAAAGTCAATTGCCAAGGATATCTTAAACATGCCAACTAGCCACGCTGCTTTAGAGTCTTTGGGAACTTTATAAGTAGGTTAATTTCTTTTAAATGAATATTTGGTGGCAGTTTTATTTTTTATGAGGAGGAGGTAGAAGATACCTTGCCCAATCAAAAGTGAAAATTTTAAAAATAAAACAGCCTCTATGCTATTATTCCTTTAGCCTCCTTCAAATGCAGACATATCCAAAATGTTATTCATACATAAAAAAGATACTGAATTTCAATTCACTATTTTAAAAAAGTGAAACAATATTTATCGAATTTTACTATAAATTTCTAAGAAAAATAAATTTTCAAACAGACAACACTGTATGAAAGAATCAAATATATCTGTATCAGGCTGTGTATCTTTCCTTACAAGCTGGTAGTATTTAAACATACAAGGAATCCTGTTGCAGTCTACATTTCATTGCCTTGGCCCCACCAACACCATCTCACAAAAACAAAGGGAAATAACATGACGACACAGTTAAGTACCTACCATGTGAAAAAGGCTAATTTTAGGCCTGAAGCCAGGCTTGACCCTGACTCAACCTTTCATTTAGAGAAGACTCAAGCTACAAAGAGAATATGAGCAAACTATCAGTGCTTAGAAAAGGTACTAGATCTGAATTTTGTCTAATCAACTGCACTTAAGAAGTAATGCCTCCAATGACAGAATATGTAGGATATCATTTGCTAAATTCTTCTTTGTAAAAGCCATAAAATATCACAATCACCAATTCTAACACTCTATATTTGCTCTCAGCAAGAAAATAAGTCAAATATATGAAATTTGATAATAATTGGTATTTTTTTTACTGTATTTAACACAGTCTCTGTGACATTAACAACAAATTGGTTTTTCTATATATGCTTCTAGCTGTTTTTTTAAAAAGAAATTTATACACATGAAGCATTTTTTTTCTTAAGACTGATCATTTAAAATGCATTGAAAGAGTCTTAGGAGTGGGAGGGAGGGGTGGATCTCTTAATTTGCTTTTACTTACACCTTGGAATGAAAAGAAAATCATTCTACTCTTGTTATAAATTATAAACACTACTTTTAGTTTGGTTTGGGCTACACAAAATTAAACTCATACTTAGAGATAATGCCATGAAATCATGAAGCAAATCATGGACCATACATAGCTTTGTACACTGTCATCCATAATATTACAGATCTTCTTCGATTTACCATATCCTTATAAACCCACTGTAAGTTGAAAATATCATAAGTTGAAAATGCATTTAATATATCTAACCTACCAAACGTCATAGTCTAGCCCAGCCTACCTTAAATGAGCTCAGAACACTTACATTAGCTTACAGTTGAGCAAAATAGTCTAACACAAAGCCTTTATTATAATAGTGTTGAATAGGTCATGCAATTTACTGAATACTGTACTCAAAGTGAAAAAGAGAAAGGTTTTATGGGTACAGAACGGTTGTAAGTATATCAGTTGTTTACCCTGGTGATTCCATAATTTTGTGGCTGACTGGGAGCTCTGGCTCCCTGCCACTGCCCAGCATCAAGAGAGAATCTCTTCCATATATTATTAGCCTGGGCAAAGATCAAAATTCACAATCTGAAGTACGGTTTCCACTGAAGCCGTATCGCTTTGCACTGTCATAAAGTCAAAAATTCATAAGTCAAACCATTTTAAGTTAGGGACTGCCCGTATACATATATGTAAAGATTACTGAATTTCAACTCAGAAAGCAAAAAGATAGTGAAACTAAATATTTACTATAAGTTACTACAAACTCTTTAACAGAGTAAAATTTCAGTAAGAGCCCAATTAACCTGTGTAATAATTTTTAAAATAAAAGTCAGGGAAACAAAAACAAGCTAATATCACCAAATATTCAAAAATTACCTTTTAGGATAAATTGTATGGCTAGCATACCTACAACATTTACATCTATATGAGAAACAATACAATGAGATTCAGTCGTTGTAAGATCCTACATCATCAAAGATTCAATTGTATGCATTATATGAATCTTATCAAAACAATAAAGCATTGGAAAAAATTAACAAAAATTTCAAAGACACTGAAATTATGTTCCTTGAGGGCACAAATGTGTCGTATGCATCTGTGTATGCAACACTGGGCCATGTTTTGCATACAACCAGTGTTCATTAATTGTGCATGGAAAGAAAGAAAAGAGATATTTAATTAAACCTACCATTCAATTCCCTAAACATTCTGGCCAATCAGAATTTTACTGAACTTAATATTATCAACTACATTAAAGTAACGGTGTCCTAATTCAACATTCTGATAATTTTAACTTTTGGTTAGCTATTTTGTGTGCATACTAGATATGAATTACAAATTTTCAAAACAATGGAGTAACATACATTTAGCATTAAATATATGCTGAATATAATTTAAGTGTTCTTTGATAAATCAGAAGCTTACGTCACTACTGCAATATCAGAGTTCTCGTACGAACAGGAACTTATATGTTCAATAATTCCAGTTAAAAGTTCATTTATCATCACTCCCATGGATTCTCTGATCTAATACACAGACATATGTAAAAGTAAAATAAATATTGTGACATATTACCTGACTGCAACCAAGAATAAAGAAGTTACCTGCAGAATGTGGAGAAGGCAGAACCCTCCTACACTATTGGGAATGTTGTTTCGTGCACCCATTATGGAAAACAGTATGGAGATTCCTCAAAAAACTAAAAATAGCCTTACTATATGATCTAGCAATCCCACTCTTGAGTATATATCCGGAGGGAACTCTAATTAGAAAAGATACATACACCCCAATACTCATAGCAGTGCTATATACAACAGCCAAGACATAGAATCAAGTTAAATGTCCATCAACAGATGACTGGATAAAGAAGTTGTGGTATAGTTATACAATGGAATACTACTCAGCCATAAAAAAGAATAAAATAATGCCACTTGCAGCAACATGGATGAATCTAGGGATCATCATTCTAAATGAAGTAAACCAGAAAGAGAAAGAATAATACCATATGATATCACTCATGTGTGGAATCTAAAAAAAAGAAAAAAAAGAAGCCACTAATGAACTCATCTACAAAACAGAAACAGACTCACAGACATAGTAAACAATCTTATGGTTACCAGGGGAAAGGAGTTGGGAAGGGATAAATTTAGGAGTTTAAGATTTGCAAATGTTAGCCACTATATATAAAAATAGATAATAAAAGAAAACAAATTTCTTTTGTATAGCACAGGGAACTATATTCAATATCTTATAATAACCTTTAATGGAAAAGAACATGAAAACAAATGTATGTGTGTATATGCATGACTGGGACATTGTGCTGTACGCCAGAAACTGACACACTGTAACTGAGTGTACTTCAAAAATAATAATAATAATAAAATAAAATTCAGCTTCATTGCATAAAAAAAAGTTACCTACAAATACTAAAAGCTGTTATTAAGAACCTAAAGCTGGAAACGGGGCTGATGGAGTATATTTTCCTTGATCCAACATACAAACTATGTTTCAACTCAGAAATTATTATTGAAAACAAATTCTCAAAAAGTAACTCTGCCAAAACATTTGATGTTATCTTCACAAACAGAACCTATCATTTAAAAAGAGAAGGCATATAGACTGATATAAACCTATTATAACCATGCTATTTTAGCATCTTGGAATTCCAGTGCATCCATAGACCAGAAGGCAAGGAATGGCAGAGTATGCAGGGACTGATCAGCTGCCTGTCTCACCCATGAGCAGCTCAGAGTATACAAACATCACTGATTTAAGTACATCACATATATGAACCATCTCAAATAGTTACATTTTAAGTATGACATGGGAGAAGAAATGGCTGGCATGTTATTCGATAGACAGACAACAGTGAAAATCCTAACCTGTGTGGCATGGCAGTAGATCTACAAATCAACCACGGAGCTATCTTTCTAGGAAATGAGCCTTCATAAGTAAGTCTATGAATCATGAACATTACCCACACATGGCAAAGTACAAAGCCTATTGCTTGGTTTGGGTAATATTAATTAAAGCCTTTTCATTGTGAATGCCTTTTATGTGAAAGACAAAATCCCAAAATACAATTTCTTCCCTACTCCTCTTTCTCAAGGGCCAGCAAGTCAATATCCACGCTTGCCTCTGATCATGTGCAAAAGAGAGGGATATTAAGAATTCAAAATCACAATGTTGGTAACAGACCTTAAAAATCTATAGCATTTAAAAAGAAAAATCTTTTTAAAACAATAATAAAACATTTTCATCTCTTACTAGTTTTACTTCAGTTGACCTACAGTGTTTTAGACCACAGACTAACTCAATAGCGAACCCTGTTTTCAATTTCTACCACCAAAAGCACTCCCTGATGTGAACCGCCTGCCTTAGAGAAGGGCCAACCTTAGAATAAATATAGAAGATGAGACTAAAAGTTTCTAAAAGGAGGCTGGTAGAAAGGGAGACTGAGGGAGAGCACTGTCCAATGCTGTCAAGGTGCAAATTACTGGTACTATTGGCACATCAAAAGTACTCTTTATGCTTAATACACATCAGTATTTGTGTGGCTGTTGGAATAAAGATCAACTTGGTCTTACACATCACCCTCTCTACATCTCTGGCCTCATCATTCCTCTCCACCCACTCTGTACACCAGCCACACTAGCCTTCACTCCATTTCTCAATTTATCACTACCCTTCCTGCCCCAGAGACTCAGTTGAGCTGTTTCCTCTGCCCAGGAGCAATCTTCCCCTCCTATTGTGTCCTCATATCTCAGCTCAAATATCACTTCCTCAGGCTGGGCCAGCTTCATGGATGTACAACCTGCACAGCTGCACAGGGCCTGTACTTAGGACTCCATGATTGGTTTAATGTTCTACTGTGGCAGTCTTGG